TTTGTTCGAATTAAATTCGAACATAAAATTCGAATATTGGTTCGATTATAGAACGATTGTAAACGTTCCAGAAACGTTGAAAATAGTTCGTTTGACTAAACGTAAAAATTCTCTAATTAGTCTGGAAACGGGGGACGTAATTCTTGCATTCTGTGAAAACGGGTAAGATTAGCTATAATGTAATTATCTTAATCTCCACTATCGTTACTTTTTGCCCAGCGAAGCGGGTCCTTGCAGCTAGTATATTATATAAGCACTGTTCTAAATTATAGTATTAAATTATATATAATTTAATACTATAATTTATATTCTAACTTTCTTTTAAATACATAAGTGAAAAACATGGCTTTAAATTTTTTTTCAATGAATTATAAAAGATTTTAAAATCAAACTTACAACAGGTACGTTCGGAAATACTAACATATGATTATATCAGTAGCAGGGAATAACGTCATTGTTAATAGTAGATATAGGCCTATATATATGTAAGGATGATTTTGCAAAGGTTATTTGGGTATGTAATCTACACGTTGGGAGGAGTTTGACTTAAAATTACACCCCTCATTTAGCTTGGTTATTAAGTAACTGTGCTTCCAGAGAGTTCATATTGTTAATCACCTGTGATTACTGGAGAGTTAATGGTAATGTTTTTGAATGTCATCCAATAACAGATCTTGTTAGAATTTCCGAATATCCTCTAAAATAATCTAATATAACAATTACAGAATTCTTGACGACAATGGAGATAAAAAATTCAATATTTGCGGAAGACAAAGAAGAATTTCCTTGGGATGAAAATGCTCTGAAAAGCTTTAAAAAAATTATTAGTAAGTAATATATTTTTATTATAATTAAAAAGAATAAATGTCATAAATTATTGATAAATATTTATATTAACTAATTTTTAAATGTGTTATCTAAAAATTAGATGTTTTGGTTTGTGGGTAAATTGGTCATCCAGTAAAACACTAAAGACGTCAACATTTATAGGAATTAACTTATATATATATATATTATATTTTGTCAAGAAGCTTAATGTTGAAGATATGGATGAGTTTTATAAAATTATAAATAGGGCCTACTAGTAACAAGTAAAATTGTCATTAAGTCCGAACCAACTGGAGATACACAAGGAGACTCGTTTATCTGCACACCTCTTGATCTATAACAGCATCAATCCCCCTAATAAACCAACCCTCCTATAGAATTTCAGAAATTTTCAACAAAAATCACAAGAGTTATTAAGCTTTTAAACAGGGTAAAATCTTGCTCCCTATATACACACACCTTAATATGCAAACCCTTACTTTTTATTTCAAAAGACAATAAACATAAATATTATATTTATTAATTCTATCAACAATTTTATTAATATTAATTTATTACGTTAATAAGTAACAAATTAACAATTTTTTACACGGTAATAACTTGGCAGGGTACTTTAATATATAAAATTATATAGTCGTAGTTTTTCTCTATAAGCAAATTATATGTAAATTTAATATAGTCGTTTCTATGGAACAATGCTAAAACATTATTTATAAAAAGTGTATATATTTAGGCCTATATATAAATAATTACTGTAAAAAGTCGAGGAAAAATAAAACAATAGGATAGAAGACATTGTTTATAAGCAACAACAATACAATTGTATTTTCTCCAATATTATAATAGTAGGAGAGACTGGGAGAATTACGGATGTAAGAATTTAAATATTTTTACATCAATCTATGTTCAAATCTGTTGCATATAGTATGATATAAGGCATTAAAATTGTAACTTTATTTCCTTAAAAAAATTTTAAAAAATTGTCTCCTATACCCCTTTTACGCAGGACAATACAGACAATACTTTAGACAACAACGAGATATCTTGAGAGTGGCCGACATTTGGTAAAAAAAAGGAAATAAAAAATGAAATATAATAGATGAGTCTTATTTATAACATGGTCTTTACTTCCTGATAATGACAACCTAAAATTGTAGTGTTATAAGAAAGACAGCAGAAAATGCAACTTTAACATTTTAGAAATATAATTTTAAAGGAGAAAATCGTTAATATCTGTTTATTTAATGTAGAAGATCAAGGAATAAATTGTTGTATGGACGACATCTTTCTTCTGGGATTTCTTCGCGCAAGAAAATATGAAATGGGAAGATCTCTGCAGTTGCTGAAGAATTACTACGAAATTAGACTACAATATCCTCAATATTTTAAAGATCGTCTTCCTTCCAAGGTGGAGCATGTTTTATCGTTGAATACTATGCAATTTTTGCCTAAACCCGATCAGAAAGGAAGATATGTTTTCATTTTTGAATATGGTAAACTTTATTGTTATTACTGGACCATCATAAATATATTTGTTAGTGTATAATAACCTTATTTTTAAATTAATTTGTTATTCGTTTCACTCGAAAGTAATATATTTAAACATTTTTACTCTTTTATGTTATAATAAATAATGTTATCATTAAATGTACGTTAACGTAATTTAGTTTAATTATAAATATTCTGTTATATACGTGTCCAAAACTTAAAGACTGATGTAAGAATCGCAGGGGGTACTAATCCGCTAGGAAGTTAGTATCATTTAATCGGCGCTAGTTCGTGAAACTAGTTCTCTCGGTTTCGGATCTTGTGATCCGATCCTATGTCAAGATTTTTGACCGGGAGGGCTTTTGTACTAGATCCAAATTGTAGGATATGAATCTTTTCGTCAGGATGCTGACACCAGTTAATCTATTTCATCGGTCGCGGATTAACACGCGAGTAGGGATCTGATTCTGACAACATACAAGAGACATATTTTAATATAATAACTATAAACAATTTAATAAAGTAATAAGGTAAATAAAATACAAATCAAGCTTAATACGAATTAAAATTAACGAATGGTTAAATATATATACTTCGAGCTAGAGAACGGATATTCTTAACCTATACAGTGTCGAGAGAGAGAGAGCACACAATTCTTTAAATAACATACAACTTGTTAAAGGAGCTTTGACGTCTTCTTATCGGCGAAGGTCCTTCATTTATGAAGTTCTCATTCTCCTATTCATGGAGAAGGTATTGTTATTTCCAACATCTAATATATCTCGTATGTTCTATATGAGTATTAACTCGGTAGCATTCGCCTATGGCCGTTGGTCTTATGGAGCCTGCATGGACTTCGTCTGTCTCATTTGGGATCTGTTGACGAACTCCTAAGGGCTTTGAAAATGAGTGGAGTCCTGTCACTTTCAGATCTACCAACGAACTCCTCGAACTCTCCTAAACTTCGCCTATATCTTCGGATTTACAACCAATCATCATACTAGAATTCTTCCATGTGAACGGATGGGAAGGGGGAAGAAGTGAGGGGTCGTCACTTTCCATCGTAGCGAGATTTAAAACAGATAAGGGAAGAACAGAGGATGCTCATACTTCCGTCAAAGGAAGTGACTCTCCTATCTGTTTTCCCACGCTAGAAAAATGTTATTTTCCCATCATAATAAAAGAATATTTAATTTTAAATTATTATTTTAGACCCGGGGGCTATTCGGATCTCACACTGACGACATTTGCACGTGTATGAAATAGAAATGCAGATGAATGTAGGCAAGAACTGTATCATGTGGTGTTTAACACAAGGTAATACACAACGCCTTGTACGATTTTAAAAATCTAGGAATTAAAAGTAGGTCTTACACACAGCAGTTGGGAATAGGTTCTTGCCAATACCCATACAGAGAGATCTGTCAGCACAAATACATCCATTACATCCGAACTAAAGCCAAGACACTTTTCCTAGCTTGTGTTTGTCTTTAAATTATGGTCACATGGGTAATTTAATCTATCAAATTTTACAGGAACGAACTTAAGAATTTAACTATATTAATTGTTTTTCTCATCCTTATTATAAATACCTAAAATTTCTCCTCTGTTACAGCTAATTGGGATACTTCTATTGCAAATTCGTATGATGTGTTTCGTTGTTGTATGCTTTACTTTGATCTTCAATTAAACTTACATCGAACACAAGAGAACAAAATCGTAGGTATAGCAAATGGGGAGGGAATATCATTATCACATTTCCTTCAAGCCACACCAAGTTTTATGAATTCAGTGGCGAAAGTTATGCTTGTGAGTAAACTAAAATTTTATATCTAATTTTTACGTATATAACGGCTTTATTTCCAGAAATTTTCTTAACACTTTTATTGTAATAGTAGTCACAGTTACTATTTTAAATTCCTCTTTATTTCTTTTGCTCACACACGTTTGATTTTTAAACATAATTATACTTGTAATGGTGAATGAAATGTTTCTTTATAAGCGTTACTGTCTCTGTAATAGGAATAAGAAAAGAACTAAAACTGTACTGTACTGTACATTTTACATATTTTCTATTAAAGTTTCTTTGTTAAATAGATAAACATATTCAGTAACTGCTTATATTACTATGATATCAATATGTATTAATTGTACAGTGCATTGTCGCAATTTTCCAGTAAAGTGTAGAATCAAACAGTAGGATTTCACGCACTGTACAACATGAAATCCTACTATTTGAGCATAGACAATGAAGTGAAAAATCAAAGTTTTTACATTTATTTTATTATAAAAAACGCAGAAACCTATACCACACTACTTTCAACGTAAATTTACATTGTAGCTACACACTACTGCTTTCAACAATATTATTTTAATAGTTTTGAAAGCTAATTTTTGTAATAATGTTATGGAAAGCACTTTACATCTTTGCTAATGGTTATATAAATCTGCAATCCTTCAAGTTTTCTTGTATTTTACATAACAGGTATATTAACTTGAATTTAAGTATGAAAGTCATTAACACTAGGCTAAGTTTACGTGATAAAACCTAGAACATATGGGCGTTAATTTCTATGCTTAGGGGATTAACCATCTCATAGTTCATTGTAATTACGAGTGGCATTGTACGATGATAATTTTTAGTTATAGAAATCTTTTCTAATTTATTAATACAACTGAATAATAAATATACAACTGAAAAATCATTATTTCTTAATATCTTTATTTGTATTTTCTTTATTAGAAAGATGCATATCAGGCTCGATTTAGTGAAATTCATTACGTAAACTTGAATATCGTCATTAAGGCCATTCTAAGCATTTTTATTCCACTTTTACCAAGTAAACTGAGAGACAGAGTAAGTATTTCTAATTATTTATTAATACAAATCAAATTTAATATTTATTTTTGTTAATGCTTTTCCTTTTTTTTTACATAAATAAAGACACGTAAAATTTGTTAATAAAAGACATAAAATTCCTAGATATATCAGACTTTTTTTGTGTAAATACTTTAAAAATTTGGCATTTATTTTTGCATGCAAATTATTTGATATATTATATATATATATGGATAATACCTTTGATTTATGCTTATTATTAAATTCGTGAACATTTATAATAGAAATAATTTCGATAATCTTTCTTAACAATTTTACTTTAATAAAACAAATACAGTAGAAACTCGATATATCGTGCTTTTTTCTTGTTCCACGAATATTAAAGCGTTTCAGTCAATAAATTTTAAATTACCAATTGCCATTGAATTTCTTTTTGTAACAAAATACGGTATTTTATTCTATCATTTTCATTGAAATTACCACTGCAGGTGAAGCAATAAATTCGTCAAAATGTATAAACAAGCAAAACAGATTGACAGATCAATTATCATTTATCTTTTCTTTTGATATTAAAAGTTGTTTATTTATTAATTTTAAGTACCGTCTTATCATTTGTAAGCTTCTGTAAATTCGAAATTTCACATCTTTATGTGAATTGATGCAATATGGTCGCTTTACATCAAGGTATAAATTCTCGAATTCACCGCGTAATGTTTAATTAAAAGATTTCTTTATTTCTGAACGAAAAGTTCTAAAATTTTTATACAGGTGTAATTTTATTTTGTTTTTTTTAAGAAATTTTTAAAAAGAATTTTTCTTTGTCTCCTGACAAGCGCGATGTAACGAGGGGGTAATGTACTGTACTTTTTAAACACTTATGTCAAAAGTGAAGTGTTTGTGATAATTCATTCACTATAGAACATCCAATTTGTGAATAATATAAATGACACTCAGCACAACAAAATATATCACTAAACACGTTTTTGGCTGCTAAGATTCGTTTAATATTGGCTAAAGACTACTTCAGATGGAAATCAGTTATACAAGACCAAACAAAGAAGACAAAGGAAAGCATTAGAAACAAAAATATAAAACAAACACGAAAATAATTGATAGAGAATGACTTGGTCTTAAGAAGAGCAGACAAAAGCAAGCATTTGGTTATTACGAAAAGACAAGCATACAATAAAGGTTTGAAGGATTATACTAAAGGAACAAAATGCGAACAGATTGTTAAAAAAAATTATTGAATACATCGATAGAAGAGTTTAAAAACTGGAAAAAATTAAGCTAGACAACGTATTAACTTTCCTTAAAAATGTCGGAACAGGAGACCAGGGATGCCAGGATTATTATTAAAATACATAAGTTCGGTAAAGAAATAAGACCGATTGTGAAAAAATGTAGAGGTACGACATATATTCTTGAAAAACGATTTCACAAATACATTACCACCAATCTTGAGAAAAGTATATTGGTTGCACAGGACCGAAAAAAAGTAATAAAAGAATACAAGACCTCTTGTTAATGGATGAAGAAATAGGGAGAGTTATGGGGACTTTGAGAATTTGTATTCTTCAATAAAAGTTGAATCATGTTTCGCAGCATTAATATAATTTATATTTCTAAAGATCCCAGAATTCATTAATTACTCAATTGACATGACGGTGTACGAAATATTGGTATGCTATGAATTAGTTTTTAATTTTAATAATCAAATATACAGTCAAAAAAGTTGTCTGTATAGGGAGTCCCGTATCAAAATTTTTATGTGAATTAGTGTTACGGAAACTGGAAAAAAGNTTTGTTCGAATTAAATTCGAACATAAAATTCGAATATTGGTTCGATTATAGAACGATTGTAAACGTTCCAGAAACGTTGAAAATAGTTCGTTTGACTAAACGTAAAAATTCTCTAATTAGTCTGGAAACGGGGGACGTAATTCTTGCATTCTGTGAAAACGGGTAAGATTAGCTATAATGTAATTATCTTAATCTCCACTATCGTTACTTTTTGCCCAGCGAAGCGGGTCCTTGCAGCTAGTATATTATATAAGCACTGTTCTAAATTATAGTATTAAATTATATATAATTTAATACTATAATTTATATTCTAACTTTCTTTTAAATACATAAGTGAAAAACATGGCTTTAAATTTTTTTTCAATGAATTATAAAAGATTTTAAAATCAAACTTACAACAGGTACGTTCGGAAATACTAACATATGATTATATCAGTAGCAGGGAATAACGTCATTGTTAATAGTAGATATAGGCCTATATATATGTAAGGATGATTTTGCAAAGGTTATTTGGGTATGTAATCTACACGTTGGGAGGAGTTTGACTTAAAATTACACCCCTCATTTAGCTTGGTTATTAAGTAACTGTGCTTCCAGAGAGTTCATATTGTTAATCACCTGTGATTACTGGAGAGTTAATGGTAATGTTTTTGAATGTCATCCAATAACAGATCTTGTTAGAATTTCCGAATATCCTCTAAAATAATCTAATATAACAATTACAGAATTCTTGACGACAATGGAGATAAAAAATTCAATATTTGCGGAAGACAAAGAAGAATTTCCTTGGGATGAAAATGCTCTGAAAAGCTTTAAAAAAATTATTAGTAAGTAATATATTTTTATTATAATTAAAAAGAATAAATGTCATAAATTATTGATAAATATTTATATTAACTAATTTTTAAATGTGTTATCTAAAAATTAGATGTTTTGGTTTGTGGGTAAATTGGTCATCCAGTAAAACACTAAAGACGTCAACATTTATAGGAATTAACTTATATATATATATATTATATTTTGTCAAGAAGCTTAATGTTGAAGATATGGATGAGTTTTATAAAATTATAAATAGGGCCTACTAGTAACAAGTAAAATTGTCATTAAGTCCGAACCAACTGGAGATACACAAGGAGACTCGTTTATCTGCACACCTCTTGATCTATAACAGCATCAATCCCCCTAATAAACCAACCCTCCTATAGAATTTCAGAAATTTTCAACAAAAATCACAAGAGTTATTAAGCTTTTAAACAGGGTAAAATCTTGCTCCCTATATACACACACCTTAATATGCAAACCCTTACTTTTTATTTCAAAAGACAATAAACATAAATATTATATTTATTAATTCTATCAACAATTTTATTAATATTAATTTATTACGTTAATAAGTAACAAATTAACAATTTTTTACACGGTAATAACTTGGCAGGGTACTTTAATATATAAAATTATATAGTCGTAGTTTTTCTCTATAAGCAAATTATATGTAAATTTAATATAGTCGTTTCTATGGAACAATGCTAAAACATTATTTATAAAAAGTGTATATATTTAGGCCTATATATAAATAATTACTGTAAAAAGTCGAGGAAAAATAAAACAATAGGATAGAAGACATTGTTTATAAGCAACAACAATACAATTGTATTTTCTCCAATATTATAATAGTAGGAGAGACTGGGAGAATTACGGATGTAAGAATTTAAATATTTTTACATCAATCTATGTTCAAATCTGTTGCATATAGTATGATATAAGGCATTAAAATTGTAACTTTATTTCCTTAAAAAAATTTTAAAAAATTGTCTCCTATACCCCTTTTACGCAGGACAATACAGACAATACTTTGGACAACAACGAGATATCTTGAGAGTGGCCGACATTTGGTAAAAAAAAGGAAATAAAAAATGAAATATAATAGATGAGTCTTATTTATAACATGGTCTTTACTTCCTGATAATGACAACCTAAAATTGTAGTGTTATAAGAAAGACAGCAGAAAATGCAACTTTAACATTTTAGAAATATAATTTTAAAGGAGAAAATCGTTAATATCTGTTTATTTAATGTAGAAGATCAAGGAATAAATTGTTGTATGGACGACATCTTTCTTCTGGGATTTCTTCGCGCAAGAAAATATGAAATGGGAAGATCTCTGCAGTTGCTGAAGAATTACTACGAAATTAGACTACAATATCCTCAATATTTTAAAGATCGTCTTCCTTCCAAGGTGGAGCATGTTTTATCGTTGAATACTATGCAATTTTTGCCTAAACCCGATCAGAAAGGAAGATATGTTTTCATTTTTGAATATGGTAAACTTTATTGTTATTACTGGACCATCATAAATATATTTGTTAGTGTATAATAATCTCATTGTACAATTAATTTGATATTCGTTTCACTCGAAACATTTTTACTCTTTACGTTATAATAAATAATGTTATCATTAAATGTACGTTAACGTAATTTAGTTTAATTATAAATATTCTGTTATATACGTGTCCAAAACTTAAAGACTGATGTAAGAATCGCAGGGGGTACTAATCCGCTAGGAAGTTAGTATCATTTAATCGGCGCTAGTTCGTGAAACTAGTTCTCTCGGTTTCGGATCTTGTGATCCGATCCTATGTCAAGATTTTTGACCGGGAGGGCTTTTGTACTAGATCCAAATTGTAGGATATGAATCTTTTCGTCAGGATGCTGACACCAGTTAATCTATTTCATCGGTCGCGGATTAACACGCGAGTAGGGATCTGATTCTGACAACATACAAGAGACATATTTTAATATAATAACTATAAACAATTTAATAAAGTAATAAGGTAAATAAAATACAAATCAAGCTTAATACGAATTAAAATTAACGAATGGTTAAATATATATACTTCGAGCTAGAGAACGGATATTCTTAACCTATACAGTGTCGAGAGAGAGAGAGCACACAATTCTTTAAATAACATACAACTTGTTAAAGGAGCTTTGACGTCTTCTTATCGGCGAAGGTCCTTCATTTATGAAGTTCTCATTCTCCTATTCATGGAGAAGGTATTGTTATTTCCAACATCTAATATATCTCGTATGTTCTATATGAGTATTAACTCGGTAGCATTCGCCTATGGCCGTTGGTCTTATGGAGCCTGCATGGACTTCGTCTGTCTCATTTGGGATCTGTTGACGAACTCCTAAGGGCTTTGAAAATGAGTGGAGTCCTGTCACTTTCAGATCTACCAACGAACTCCTCGAACTCTCCTAAACTTCGCCTATATCTTCGGATTTACAACCAATCATCATACTAGAATTCTTCCATGTGAACGGATGGGAAGGGGGAAGAAGTGAGGGGTCGTCACTTTCCATCGTAGCGAGATTTAAAACAGATAAGGGAAGAACAGAGGATGCTCATACTTCCGTCAAAGGAAGTGACTCTCCTATCTGTTTTCCCACGCTAGAAAAATGTTATTTTCCCATCATAATAAAAGAATATTTAATTTTAAATTATTATTTTAGACCCGGGGGCTATTCGGATCTCAAACTGACGACATTTGCACGTGTATGAAATAGAAATGCAGATGAATGTAGGCAAGAACTGTATCATGTGGTGTTTAACACAAGGTAATACACAACGCCTTGTACGATTTTAAAAATCTAGGAATTAAAAGTAGGTCTTACACACAGCAGTTGGGAATAGGTTCTTGCCAATACCCATACAGAGAGATCTGTCAGCACAAATACATCCATTACATCCGAACTAAAGCCAAGACACTTTTCCTAGCTTGTGTTTGTCTTTAAATTATGGTCACATGGGTAATTTAATCTATCAAATTTTACAGGAACGAACTTAAGAATTTAACTATATTAATTGTTTTTCTCATCCTTATTATAAATACCTAAAATTTCTCCTCTGTTACAGCTAATTGGGATACTTCTATTGCAAATTCGTATGATGTGTTTCGTTGTTGTATGCTTTACTTTGATCTTCAATTAAACTTACATCGAACACAAGAGAACAAAATCGNTTAATTGTTTTTCTCATCCTTATTATAAATACCTAAAATTTCTCCTCTGTTACAGCTAATTGGGATACTTCTATTGCAAATTCGTATGATGTGTTTCGTTGTTGTATGCTTTACTTTGATCTTCAATTAAACTTACATCGAACACAAGAGAACAAAATCGTAGGTATAGCAAATGGGGAGGGAATATCATTATCACATTTCCTTCAAGCCACACCAAGTTTTATGAATTCAGTGACGAAAGTTAGGCTTGTGAGTAAACTAAAATTTTATATCTAATTTTTACGTATATAACGGCTTTATTTCCAGAAATTTTCTTAACAGCTTTATTTCAATAATAGTCACAGTTACTATTTTAAATTCCTCTTTATTTCTTTTGCTCACACACGTTTGATTTTTAAACATAATTATACTTGTAATGGTGAATGAAATGTTTCTTTATAAGCGTTACTGTCTCTGTAATAGGAATAAGAAAAGAACTAAAACTGTACTGTACTGTACATTTTACATATTTTCTATTAAAGTTTCTTTGTTAAATAGATAAACATATTCAGTAACTGCTTATATTACTATGATATCAATATGTATTAATTGTACAGTGCATTGTCGCAATTTTCCAGTAAAGTGTAGAATCAAACAGTAGGATTTCACGCACTGTACAACATGAAATCCTACTATTTGAGCATAGACAATGAAGTGAAAAATCAAAGTTTTTACATTTATTTTATTATAAAAAACGCAGAAACCTATACCACACTACTTTCAACGTAAATTTACATTGTAGCTACACACTACTGCTTTCAACAATATTATTTTAATAGTTTTGAAAGCTAATTTTTGTAATAATGTTATGGAAAGCACTTTACATCTTTGCTAATGGTTATATAAATCTGCAATCCTTCAAGTTTTCTTGTATTTTACATAACAGGTATATTAACTTGAATTTAAGTATGAAAGTCATTAACACTAGGCTAAGTTTACGTGATAAAACCTAGAACATATGGGCGTTAATTTCTATGCTTAGGGGATTAACCATCTCATAGTTCATTGTAATTACGAGTGGCATTGTACGATGATAATTTTTAGTTATAGAAATCTTTTCTAATTTACTAATACAACTCAATAATAAATATACAACTGAGAAATCATTATTTCTTAATATCTTTATTTGTATTTTCTTTATTAGAAAGATGCATATCAGGCTCGATTTAGTGAAATTCATTTCGTCAACTTGAATATCATCATTAAGGCATTTTTAAGCATTTTTATTCCACTTCTACCAAATAAACTGAGAGACAGAGTAAGTAACTATAATTAATTATTAATTCACATCAAATTCTTGTATTTAAATTTTTATTACTGTTGTGGAGAAGAGAAAACACATATAGCTTATGAGTTTATCCAAATTGTGAAAGCCAAACCAAGAAATTCATTACAAATTAAAACATTTAACGAATTTCTTTTTATTTTGTTTTCTTAATCTCTTTTTTATAAAAATAATTTAAAATACTTTTTATTCATTCCAATAAAGATTGATAATAGGCTAATAATTTATTCATATGTTACAGTTGCATCTTCATTCTGATATGTCAACACTACACGAATTTGTCAGTCCCGATTGTCTGCCCTTAGAATATGGAGGAAATTTGTCAAGTTTCGATCCTACTGAAGCCAATAATATGATTAAAGCTAACGAAGAATTCTTTAGAAAGAACGAAGAATACGTGAAATTGTACGAAGAACAAAAAAATAAAAATTTCAGCGAAGGAACGTTTCGCTACGTTAAAGAAGACTTTCAAGATGAAAAAGTGAAGAAAATTATAGAAAAAACAGAAGAAAGATTTAAAACTTATTCACATGATCCAGAAGCATTTTTGGCTGCTATGAAGCAAGATTCTGAATTAGAAATTACACATTTCTAAATGTTATAGAGTTATGTTCTTCTGATGTATGTTACGATTTATATGTACACAGTACATATATTTGTATAATATAGTACATATATTTGATTTAAATAATCTCAAATAATAAATTTTGGTATGAAATGTTCATTTCAATGTCTTTTATGAAAACAAACCAATATTCATAAATTCGTAAATTACAATTATTGGGCTGTAATTTTTAAATTGCATACTTATATATTTTAATTGTCCTTCGCCAGGCAAAATGGAGTATGCTGTACAAAATATACATTGAAGATCCATGCTGACACAAAAAAGCAGAAAATCTGTATAAAAAGTAATAAAATATAAAAATAAAAACAACAAAACAGTAAAAAAAGCGAAATAATAAAGAAGATCGCGTATTTATAAGACAACGAAGATGATTATCAACAACAACCAAAAACATTATACATATTTGCAGATGGACGTTAGTACAAACACAATTCATTATTCTTAATAAAATTTAAATGCTTTCCTGTGGAATTTAAATAGAACAGGAACTTTCGAATATTTAAATGAAGATGTATAAGAATTTTTAGTATTTTATGATGCATTGCAAATTACCTTTTCGATCCGGAACTTGGATTATAAATCGAATTAAAATATCTAAACTTCATCTATGATATACAAATGTAATTTGAANAAAGTAATAAAATATAAAAATAGAAACAAAAAAAAAGATAATAAACAAGATAACATATTTACAAGACAATGTATATGCCCAGTGACAGACAAATAATCTTTATTAGATCCTGACACTGGTAGGCACAATTGGGAATGCTGTACAAAATATACATTGAAGATCCATGCTGACACAAAAAAGCAGAAAATCTGTATAAAAAGTAATAAAATATAAAAATAAAAACAACAAAACAGTAAAAAAAGCGAAATAATAAAGAAGATCGCGTATTTATAAGACAACGAAGATGATTATCAACAACAACCAAAAACATTATACATATTTGCAGATGGACGTTAGTACAAACACAATTCATTATTCTTAATAAAATTTAAATGCTTTCCTGTGGAATTTAAATAGAACAGGAACTTTCGAATATTTAACTGAAGATGTATAAGAATTTTTAGTATTTTATGATGCATTGCAAATTACCTTTTCGATCCGGAACTTGGATTATAAATCGAATTAAAATATCTAAACTTCATCTATGATATACAAATGTAATTCGAATAATTCGAGGCATTTCCGTAGAAGAAAGTGGTTCCTATTTAGCTGCTGAACACGTGAAGGAAACTGAAAACGCCATGTTACTAGGGGCGAAACCGCAACTAATTCTACGTGGCTTGTAAAATTGAATTCGTTCTCAAAATATGATCGGTCGATTTCTATGAAAAAACCCTGTCGATTTTCATTAATTGAGATCTGAAATTCAATAATGTAATAAAAAGTGGGGATCCATGATTGTTTTCGAGATACACTGTGACAATATCCACACTCGCTGACTCGATTGAGAGCACCTAATAAAGTTTAATAATAAAAAATATAACACTACTCATGCCTAACGAAAAATTGACCCCGAAAAAACGAAAATAACAGAGGAAGAAAACCAATCGCATCACCGTATCGGCCAGTGCAATGATCACCTATACACGACCTTCAGAATATCAAAGTGATGAGTTCCAAGTTTGCTAGCACGAGTGCACGCAATAAAGAAATCAATTGTTTATTTTTTAAAATTCTTTTGTATGCCAATTGTGACATCTCTGAAGCTGTGGCGACGAGTGGTCTTTATAGATGCCCCCAGAAATAATATTATTGGTTCGCTTGGGCTCGATTCAAATACTGTATTCGGACAGCAAACGAACTGTGACTAGTTGTCAGTGTTCCGTGGTTTTATTCACTTGGCCACTGGTAGGAAAAATTTTAAAAAAATCCAGTAATAATGAACAATTTATGCGTGTGCACTTTAATTTCAAAAACAATTCCTATAAGTTTTGCCTCAAGGTTTGTCACATGTGATCACATTTTTTTTGGAGTAGAATAAAAAAGTTAAATTAAATTTTAATTTTAATTAATTTTAATATAAATCAACACTAGTTTCATATTGGACCTCCAAATTAATGTAATTAATTAAATGTTTATACATTCAGTGGCCGTTGTTAACTGGTTAAAAGTTATTATATTAGTGTTTTTTTTTTCTGGAAAAGGAGGTAGTCTTATTCAGAAAAGTCAATCTTTATTGTTTACCTAATATTTCACCTGTGAAATATCATGTAAACAATAAAGATTGATTTTTCTAAGCTGTAACAGAGACAAGAAATTTAATGTATTTATATGAAAGATCATAAATATTAATTGATTGAAATTCTTAATCTATTTCGTATGATATCTGATATAATAAATATTAATGGTGTATTAAGTTTAATTTTAAATTAACTCTCTTATGTTGCCTACTTTTAAAATATGAGAGTTTGTGGTGTATATATAACATATACATTATATACATACGTATATACACATTAAAGATTTTTGCTTTGTACTTACAGAATAGCCAAATATTGTTTTAAAATGTTAATTTCGAGAGCAAACACAGACAAAATTATATTTTTCATTTTTTAGGTANTATAAATTAACTCTCTTATGTTGCGTACTTTTATAACATGAGAGTTTGTAGTATATATATAACATATACATTATACACATACGTATATACAAACTAGAGATTTTTGCTTTGTACTTACGGAATAGGCAAAGATTGTTTTAAAATGTTAATTTCGAAAGCAAACACAGACAAAATTATATTTTTCATTTTTTATGTGTTAAAAGAATTACCTAACTTTCCTTTTATCTACTCGCAATCTTCATTTATTAATCTATATAAGCATTTAGGTCATTTTAAATTTTCAAATGTAGTACAGAATTATAGTTTAAGACGACGAATTATTTATTTTGACATCGTCACAATGTCGAATAGCACGTTATAATCATCTTTTCATTTAAAAAAATCACACGACTTCCGGTCTAGATCGAAAGTTCGTATATAATCGGGATCTCCGGCTCTTAAGCTTGACATATGTTAGTAATGTCTAGCCCCAGTACATGATACTTTTCCTAACAACAGCTGAGTAATGCTGGTTATCAATCAAACTCATTTTACGAGACAAATTTCAATTAAACTCACACGAGTTCCGCACAGACCGGAAGTTTGTTTAAATGACTGTTGCTTGAACAAATTATATTTTATTGAGTATAAGAGAAGTATTAAATATAGAAGAATAATTTAATAATATGCTTATTTATCTCTTTAAAAATGCATAAAATAAATTCGGGTAGATTTTAGTAATATCTTTGTATTGTTTTATGAACAAACTAGCAAAAAATATTGAACAGGAATTCAGGGAAAGGGTTGAGTTATTCACATTATACGTTAGAGTATATTTCCTGCCGTATGGTAGAGAGTAACTGTGCAAAATTTGGTGTAAATCAGTCAAAGGGTTTGGGCAATTAGCGGGAGATTAAATCAGAAACAAGGAGTGAGCGATTTGAGTTTTATTAGTCCCTGTTTTTCCTAGGGTACCAGAGTAAGTTTACGGAATTTGGTTAAAATCTATCAAAGGGTTTGGGAGTTTGTAGATGTCTACGCCTGAAAAGTAACTGAATAACTCTTGCAGTTACATACACAGTTACATATCTTACTGCTAAAATGATCGCCTATTATACTGTTTAATTTGTACTCATATTAATTAATTAAGTTCAAAATAATATTTATAGAATACAAATATAATTAATAATATTCATATAGATTAATGTGAAAAATAATTAATAATTAATAATTCATATAGATTAATGTGAGAAATAATACAATATCAATTATGATATGAAATAATTCAATTTATAAATCTAGTACTTATACTGTTTCCTTCAATATACTATACTGTACTTCCGTAAAGTTTATTATAATTTATTTTGCTAAGAAATAATATTAATAAGAAATAAGACTAATTTAAATACTACTTATTCTTTACTTCACAACTGGCACAACTAGGTGCATAGTTAGACAGTGGGCATCTTTAACATCACTCTTTATTCATTAATATCTTATACACCGATACGCGTTTCTGGCATACGTCCTTCTTCCGTCGGCTTTTTCTTTAATACATTAACCAATACAACAATCTTTTTTTAATTCGGGACCCGAACGTTTGGCCCTCCCCTTATAAAAGATAGTTTAGCACGTTGCTTTTGCTTTCCAGACGTCGAACTGATCTGCCTAGGAAGGGATGCCTTCGGGGAGGTCTTTTTTTTGGGTGACTTGCCCCTATTCAGGTGTTACAGATGTGGAGAAAACCAAAGAAACTCCACGTGGCCACGACCGAACTGCAAGTGTTCTGGGAACGGAATTATAGAAAATTGCTGAAATACAGTTTTCATCATCTATAAAACCTTTCTTGTTAATTTGTTCGTCGTTCTATGCTACATATTACCTGCTTAGAACTGTGATATGAGATACCCCAATATGTTAAAACCACTGAATGCGTAAATATCCCCCCTCAGGCTACATATAAAACAAATTACAAAATAAAAACAAACCACACGAGACAGGAGTTGAGCGATTACTGTATTTCTCTATCCGCTTTTTGTTTACAACACATTCTATAGTTTATTATGAAGTAGTATCAGTTGTCATCAATCTCCCCTCATTACTTAAAAAAATATTTTTATTCCTTTTATGCTTGAGTTAATTATGTTATTATTCTACACGTAATTTATATTTTAGTCTATAAATTAAAAAAAAATGAAACTAGTTATAAATTATATTATCAAGATTATTTGCACTAATGTAAACACTAGTATGATAAATTAAATATATAAGTAAAAAAATATATAAATATTTAATTTATTTCCCACGCTGTGTTTTACTACAAATTCTTTTGGACATAGCTTATTTAACTCTCTCTATAACACAGTAATCTTAAAAAATTTCTAATGTTACAGATCTGTCTTACATATTTCTTGTTCATATTACATTGACTTAAAATAAATCTTGAAATGCAG